ACATTTTCTTAGGTGTGAAAACCCACAGAGAGTAACGTGTAATTCGTGTTAAAACGAGCTTATTTGGGGAATATTACAATACTATTATGTTTGATAGCTTCTATAATATATTTTTCGATCTACTTCCATTTGTTTACTAATGCTATCAATATCGTATTTTATCGTTATTTATTAACTTTTAATTATTTTACTTTCCCTCATACTGCGTATACAGAATAACGCTAAAAACTCTTTGGTTATGTTCGTGAATACACTGCACACTTTATAAAGTGTTTATTTTATCGTTTACCGAAGATTCGGGTCGCGTCTCCCTGCAGTCGAGGGCTCATTCGCCCAGCAAACCGCTGATTTAACTCCCGTGCTACACGAGAACTATCGCTACGCCGCTCAACTTACCTTAAAGAAGATGCTGGAAGTGATGTCCTAGAATGCATTCCTGGCATCCCCGTAACATATTCTGATTTACCCTGTGTAAGTCTCGAGGAATTGCTGCGATATTTTCAAGAGAGCGCCGGAGATCTTCCTCCGAATGCGGGTTTTGTGCATACACCTGATCTAGGAAGCCATAATCCTCGACTAATTATTCGATTGTCACTACAATCATCATTTGAAAAGTACATGAATCGAACAGCAGTGTAGCAGTTGCCGAATCCTGCTGAAAGTAACCATAGACGCCTCATAGATTTTCTTGGAGATTGTTGTAACCTGGCAGAGATTTCATTCACTTTCTCTTCTTTCAAAACATGGCGCTTTCGACACTTTTGATCAAAAATTCCATGGGTGCGAAGTTTCTTTACAAGCTTCAAAGTTGTCGACCGATGTGAAATATTCACGCCCGGAAATTTGTTAATAAACCTCATACGGCACTTACTGGCACTTACGTTGAACGCAAGTGTCGTAAAGAAACGTTCAAAGAAAATGTCCCAGGAGATTCATGTCAAGTATTCCTAAACATTGAAATACAGGTTTCAAATTCCAGGAACCAACCATTAGAGTCTCTGAGATAACTGCATAGTATACCGACGAATACAAGAGGCCCGAAATCGGCAGATTTTGCGAAAGAATCTCGATAAAATTATGATATGGGCGGCAAAAAATGAAATTAAAAATTAAACCTAAGAAATGAAAATCTGTAACCGTCAGTAGGAAACGGGAGAAAACAACACTAAAATACACATACATTCTTAAATAACTTGGATGAGCCGCGTCTCGGTCAATTGTGCTGATGTTTCGGCCATCTTGCTGTTCAGAGTTATACTGCTGCCAAGAGGTTGGCGTGTCTCATCTTATAGGAAGGGCGCGTGGGCCGACTGGGCGCATCGGCGGCCAAATCCAGAAGGGCGGGTGTGCCGTAATTGGGGGAGAAGGAAAAAGACGATGGCGGGTGACCAGATGAGGTGGGGGAGGGGAGTGGGGAGGAAATGATAGATAATAGAAAACTGAACAGGATAGACACCTGGAAGATGCATCTGTGTGGAGAACGGGCGGAAATACCGAAAAAGAACAGCCCAAATAGCGGCCACGTCATTGGCCGTCCGCGGGGGGGGGGGTGTCTCCGCGATGCGGGACCAAATTGGCGGGGGTCCACGGCCCGTCTCCAGGTAAGAGTTGCTAAGAAGGAACCCGTCATCTCTATTGAGGTTTGTGGGTCTCCTAGAGATGTCCAAAGTCTCTCTGATCAAACAAAGCCACGACCGGTCTTCTGTTGTTGTTGTGCGGGTTTCGTGATAATTGACGAGGTGACCCGTTTCCGCGGCGTGTTGTGCCAAGGCCGATTTGTGAATATGTTGAGGCCGGTCATGTCGCATGTGTTCCTGCATACGCTCTTCTGCCGAGCGCCTGGTTTGTCCGATGTAAACAAGACCATAGCTGCGCGTGATTTCATACACGCCGGCATCTTGAAGAGGGTACAGACAATACTTCACCTGTACCAGACTCCTCCCGATCTTGTTGCGAGCGTAAAACACGGGGCGGATATCATCTCTTCGCAGCAATCTACCCATCTTGTCTGTGACTTCCTTTGATGTCAGGCAATCGCGCTGCCTTGCAGTGCGTGCTGGAAGGTTCGTTGCGTGCATTCGATGTGGTAGATAGGAGCCTCAATAGGGCTTGGTTCGCGGCGGATCCGCTGTAGCCATTAGCCAAAAAAGCCTAGACAGAATGACCGAGTGTGCCGAAAGGGCGCCTGGTCACTAGCACGTCCAGGAAAGGGAGCTGCCCGGTTTCTTGTTTCCATGGTAAAGTTGATGCGCGGATGGATGCAGTTGAGGACTGCGAGGAAGGTTTGAAGAGTTAGGGCCATGGGGCCAGACGACGAATGTATCATTGACCTAACGCAGCCATAGCGATGGTTTTAGGGGCGCGGTTTCAAGAGCCTGCTCTTCAAAAGTTCCTATGAAGAGGTTCGCGACGATCGGGGAAAGCGGTGAGCCCATAGCGGTGCCTTCTGTCTGAGCTTAAAACTCTTGTCCGTATTGAAAAAAGGTGGTCGTAAGGCAGATCTCAGTTAGCTTGGCCCTTAGAAGCTGATGTAGCGTGAGGCTGTCTGCTACGATATGCATATCGTCACTTACAGACACCCTAGTGAAGAGAGGAAACATCGAAGCTGACCAGGATATCATCGGGGCTTATTTTAGTAGAGCGGATGAGTTCGACGAAGTGTGTGGAGTTGAGGATGGAAGACGGCAAATGGTTGGTGAGAGGTGTCAGTTTGTGGTTGAAGGAACGTGCTAAATGTTCGGTAGGTCAATTGATGGCAATTACTATCGGACGGAGAGGAACTTCGTGCTTGTGGATTTTGGGTAGGGCATAAATGCGGGGTATGCGGTGGTTTTTGGCGTACTTGAGAATTTTCCTATCTTGATCGCTAATGGAAGAGGCCTCATTTATGCTAGACATGACTCGTTTCCTCACATTACGTAATCGGTTGTGGTACAGTTTCTGGTAGGCATTCTTGTCACTGCCTATGTTAGTCATCTTGACATGGTATATGCCGTTTTCCATGATTACAGTACCGTTTTCTTTATCTGCGGGCGGAATGACGATGTCATTCCACTGCTTGAAGTGTTTCAATGTCAATCTCTCCTCACGGGAGATATTACAAGTTGAGGGAGTGGCGCGGGTCAGAATTGCGCTCGTACCCTGTCTTATGTCTTAAGCAAGATCTTCCCGTAGCCCACGCAGAGCTGTATCTACAGCGGCGATGACGTCATCAGTAGGGATCTGCTTGGGGTGACGGCGAAATTGAGCCCTCGGGAGAGTACGGTTGTTGTGGCAGTGTCAAACGTTGCGCTGGTCAGGTTGACTACTGTGTTGCGGAGGACGACATGGGGTTCCGGCCGAGCACATTTTTGCAGTAAGTAGGTGAATTTCTTCACCTGACGGCTTCTCGCGTGTCTCGCGAACTATCAGTGATATTAGACGATATGCTGTCAAGTCTGTCCTAGTCTTGAGGACGTATGGCCTTGTGGCGGATACTCAGGTGCAATCTGTAGAGTCCCCGCTCAATAGTGGCGATATCCGCTCTTGTGTGATGGATGCGCTCCCGTGGTAGCTGTTCACCGGTTCAGCTGTTCACCGGTCATATTACGGTCGCGACAACCTAAAAGGAAGGTGAGTTGACAGATCCTCTCGGTGCGAGCAATTCTAGGTGGCTGAATCTTCAGGCGGAGTCAATACATTCTTGGATATCCTGGATGAGCAGCGTCTCGGTCAATTGGGATGACGTTCCGTCATCTTGCTGAGGGCTTCTTCAGAAGTCAGTTTCTTCTTCAGAACTGTTTTTTTTAAATATCGTTTCGGGCATATCGTTTACGTACAATAGGAATGGAATAGGACTTAAAATCGGTCCCTGCAGGACTCCACATACAATTGGCAAAGAATCAGTAAGGTGTGTACATAATGTTCCATTATTCCAGTAAGGTATTCCTACTTTTTGAGATCGTTGTTTAAGTTACGAATATAACCAATCTAGAGCAATACCACGAATTCCATACGAAGGAAAATTTTGAAAGTAAAATGTTATGATCAATGACGGCAAAAGCTTTGAACGATCTAAACATATTACAATAGGTGCTTCGTTTTGATCCATGGATCAAAATCCTCCATCCTTAAGAAAATAAAATATGGCTGTTTCCGAAATTTTTAAAATTTTTGAAAATTATGTTGGCAATCTGAAAACGCCGTGATTACTAAGAAAGATTTCCATTCGTACGTAAAAAAAGTATCTAATATTTTAATGAGACTACAATGTTAGTATTTTAGGCGTCACATTGTAATTTGTTTACGTGTTGTGCAGGTGTGTGTACAGTCACCGCTCAAATTAATGTCATTCTGCCCTCCTGTGATAATGACACTGTCCTTATTAGTCAGTGTCGTCATGTGGGTGTTCAACTCTGCAATCACATCTGCACATCTTCCTTAGGTTTAAAACTAGATAAAACTGAACAGCTGGATGGTAACTTCTTACTGAGAATGAAGGAAAGAAGGCTGCCATGGCTGTCAGGCAAATTAGGTACATGTTTTTTTGGCTTAGCCTTTTTTGCAACACCTTGCTAGATGATATTAAACGATTAAATTCGATACAAAAGTCCCAAGTAAAATCTTTTCTGCTGCACTAATGTTTCTACACCATTAAAGACTACACCGAGCATACAAAAAGAAAGTAATATTAATTTTAACAACGAAATTTAATGTATGGGGATGGTATTAATGTAATGAGATGGCCCCTGGTTTTGCTTCTGGACAAAAATGTAACTTCAAATTAACTTATCCGCATAGCTCGTCACACACAGTTTTTAACTGTTTTGACGTACGTAAATAAATAAAAAGTAGCGAAAGGTAGGTAAATTAATGAATCGCAGAATGCAAACGAATATATAGAGAAAAAAATATATATTTACACGAAAGCAATTATTTTCGTTCAATTAAACACATCACACAAGCAATTTATGGCTTGCTCATTACGTCTTTTTGTAGATATAAATACGATCATCACTTACCTAATAATATTCGGATGGTGTATCGCCTCCATTGTTAAAATCTCTCTTGTTAGCATATGGCGAGTCTTCTGGTCGAGTTTCGACTTGTCTAAAATCTTTATGGCCACACGTTCTTCAATAAAAAAAAATCGTTAGTTGTAAATTACTACACCTTATCATATACTAAATTATTGTTGACATAAGCTCATACCTTTACAAAGTTGATGCACAGCCATCTTCACATGTGAAAAATTTCCTGTTCCCAAATCTCCCCGAAAACGGTAGAATCCAACTCGTCTGCCCAAGCTAACTTCATTCACGAATCTTTGGTCATTATGAAGAGCATAAAGCAGCTTCTGATAAGGGGTTGCACCAACTCCAACTGTGAGAATTCACAAAACAAAACATTTTTTATTAATTTAACGTCAAAAATACTTAAAAACAGCGTGTACGTACTATGAGTGCCGATGAGGTTAGTGAAAAGTGCTTAACCACGCTCCGTGAAATTACGAAAGTAAGGTAAATCGAGACACCAAGGATTCCTTGACGAGATGACTGTGACAGCTGGCAACATCACAACAGCGAAAAACACTAAAACCATTAACACACGTTTGTACCTCCTCTGTACTCATTTGTTTTACTAAAACATTCGTTTGCATCAAAATCACATGCAACATTATTATTATTATTATTATTATTATTATTATTATTATTATTATTATTATTATTATTATTAGTAGTAGTAGTAGTAGTAGTAGTAGTAGTAGTAGTAGTAGTAGTAGTAGTAGTAGTAGTAGTAGTAGTAGTAGTAGACATTGTTATCGTCACAGATGACCACCAAAACTATGAAAAAAAACCTTTCTTAGAAGTCCAGCACCTGTACAAGTATCCTGAACTCCTAGAAGCAGAAGATGTGGGTTTTAGCACCGGACAAATTGAGCATATAGAGCAGAGCACTAGTATTAAATGGGGAGATAGAAAAGAACATATTAAGACCAGGATGGTGTACCAAATTACAGTGGAACCGGGAAAAGACAATAATGAACCCAGGGAAAGTCTTTACGACGCCATTACTCCACTCAAAGAACTGGCAATAAACGAAAATACGACAAACTTAATGGTAGCACACTCCAACGCGCAACGGTCTCTGGAGTTGCGGAAAACAATTGAATGTATTTTTTTAAATACAAACATAGACATCCAGTTATGCACTTCTCAACGCCAACCTGTACCAAACAAGAGAGAGCTTAAAAAGAAAGCTCCAAAACAACCTTCCACTGGCTTCGTTGTGACATGCGAAGGCATAGAGATGACGTATGCAGAGCTTTTGAAGGATATTAAAAATAAACTGCAAGTGGCAGGAGGTCTAGACAAAGTGAACTCCGTCAGGAAAACAAAAGCAGGTGACTTAGTCCTTTCATTGAAAGAAGGTGAAATGGAAGTCAAAAGCATTATAACGAAACAACTTGAGAGGACAAATGCTCGTATCGTGGATCATCGCAGAACAATACTATATGTTAAGCACCTCGATGCAATAACAACAGCTGAAGAACTCCAAGAAAGACTGCGCGCGGAGGCAGGAAATGAAGACGTAACTGTCCGATCCATGAGACCGGCATATGGTGAGACTCAATCGGCTACGGTTGAAGCATACGAAGAAACTGCAGAGCACCTCTGTAAAATAGGAAGAATAAATGTAGGAATGGTGTACTGCTTTGTTAGCAGAAGATTGGATGTCCGGAGGTGTCATCTCTACTGGAGTTATGGACATATTGCAACTAACTGCCGCGGCGAAGACAGGAGAAATAAATGCTATAACTGCGAACACGAGGGACACATGCATGCAAGAACCCAGCTTATTGTCCTCTTTGCAATGAAGACCACAGGGCAGGCACTGGTGCCTGCTGGTCATTCGGTAAAGCTCTTAGACAGGCAAGAAACGCTCAATCATGATTAACGTTCTACAAATAAACGTCAATAGATGTAGATTGGCTCACGACTTATTAATGGAAGCGATAAGCAGATTAAACCAAATACACATAAGCGAGGCCAACAAAAATATGGCAAAAAATAAAGGGTGATACCTTGATCGAAACTCAAACTCGGGTATTGTAGTAACAGATCCCTTAGAGTCACGGAGTATGGCAATTGCGAGGGATGTGTATGGGTTAACGTGGAAGGGCAGTGATCTGCAGTTGTTACATCATGCCAAACACATACACAGAGGTATTTTCTGAATTTCTAGATGCGGTCGAATTAGAATTTTGAGGTAGAGGCACTGATATAATAGTGGCTGGCGACTCAACGTGAAGTCCGCGTACTGGGGATCTCCAAAATAAAACCCTAGAAGGAAAACGATAACAGATTGGGCAGAAGCACTTAATCTAACGGTTATGAACACGGGAGCACAGCCGAAATTTATTAAAGGCACGCAAACATCATTCATCAATATATCACTCTGTTCTGACAATCTAACAAACCGCATCTCAGAGTGGAAAGTCCTGGAAGAAGAAACAGCTAGCGCCCATAGGTATATAACTTTCAAAATATATGAAACGCTGAAATCCACAGAACCGCGGAGTACGCCCTCTCCGGCGATCAAACTAGACAAAATGATATTTCGACGTGCTCTAACAGACAGTGCATCCAGAAGGTCCAACTATACACCCACAGAATGCGTGAAACATTTACACAAACCATCCAAGACCTCTAAGATTTATACAAGAGTCAACATAATAGATCCTCCATGGTGGGGACCTGAACTCTTTGCACTAAGAAAACAAGTCCAGCCGCTACAAGAAAACATCAAAGGCAAAAAAGAACAAATTCCCCGAGTGAACCGAGACCTGACAGTCTATATAAAAACTTGAATAAGACCCTCTGTAAACGAATTGCTCTAGAAAAACGGAAGTGCTGGCTCCAACTATGCCAGAATGTCGAAACAAATGTGTGGGGGGACGGCTATAGAATAGCTATCAAAACACCGCGTAAATGAGCCTAGAGTACATTTCCCTTAGAAAGAAGATTGGATATCATCAACAGTCTCTTCCTACAACATACTTAGAAGATATGGAACGTCGAAAATGACACCAAGGAAATTTCAGCCCTGACAGAAAGCGAGCTCCGAAACGCCGCAATAAAATTAAAAGAAGGCAAAGCACCAGGACCAGATGGAATACTGCCGGAAGCAGTAAAAATGCTGGATGTCTTGGATTTCGAGTACACGAAGCGTGCCTTAGAAACATTATTAAAGCAAGGTACCTAGCCACGTGCCTAGAAAAAGCCCAGAGTTCTATTAATATCTAAACCTGGGCTCAAAAGCTATAGACCCATATCGCTGCTGGATACTCTCGGCAAACTAAAGGCACGTGATATTAGGGAGACTAAAAGAAATAAATAGAACAGGAAACCTGAGCGACAGGCAGTATGACTTTAGACAACACCAATCAACGTATGGAGCTATCGATAATGTCCTAAGAACAGCGAGGAAGGCTAACGACAAAGGCCTGCTGAGTGCATTAATACTCCTGGATGTACAAAACTCATTCAACAGTGCGTGTTGGTCTGCAATAACGCGGGAGTTCGTGGAAAGAGGTTTAGCACGTTACCTTCTTAATATCATTAGTGAGTACTTATCCCAAAGAGCAATTACTGTTGGAAAGAGCAAGGAACTAGAAATGACAGCGGGGGTCCCACAGGGTTCAGTTCTGAGTCCAACCCTGTGGAACATACTATATGAAGGAGTTCTCCGACAAACAACTCCCGAAGGGACGACACTCATCGCGTTCGCAGAGGACCTAGCAATCGTAGTCACCGGAAAGACGACAGAAGAACTCACATTCAATGGAAATGCAACCCTGCGTATAGTGAACGCATGGATGACACAAAACTCTCTAAACCTGGCACACCACGAAACGGAGGCTTTTCTTTTGCCAGGAAAACAAAGACTCAAACCTGTTCTTTTCAAGATTCAAGACACTGTTGTGATAACGGTGAAAGCAGTTAATTATCTAGGGGTGATAGATGAGAGACTCACACTTGGACACCAATATGGTAACTGAAAAGGCAGGACGGACAATTGGCGCACTCAGTAGACTGATGCCAAATGTAGGAGGCTCCAGCCAAGGAAAGATAATACTGAGCTCTGTAATGCACAGCGTATTACTCTATGCTGCACCTATACAGGCAGAAGCAGCACAGAGTAAATATAATAAGACAAAACCCACCAGGACACAAAGGAAAATGGCGCTGCGAATTGTATGTGCATACAGAACAGTTTCCGCAGAAGCAGCATTTGTTCTAGGAGGACTTATGCCAATACACATTCTGGCCCAAGGAAGAAAGGCATTACATGAAGCAAGAGAGGAAGGCAGAACAAAAGAGGATAGTCGGGAACAATCCTTCAGAAAATGGCAGAACGAGTGGGACAACACGCCCAATGCTACATGGACACCGCGTTTGATCAAACAGATCCAGCCCCGGGTGACACGAAAACATGGCCACCTAAACATGGTCATACAACTCAATTTGTAACAGAACATGGTGACTTTGGAGTATACACTCTTAGAATTGGCAAAACGCTAGATGACTTGTGCCACAACTGCCAGGCCAAAGATACAGCAGAACACAGTTTTTCGCTGCTGAAGATGGCAAAAACAAAGATTCGACTTAAATCGACAACTGCGAGAGGACCTAACGGCAGATAACATTATAACCAAAATGGCACAAAGCAACAGCAACTGGAGCAAAATAAGTAAGTATTTGTCTACTATTTTAAGCACAAAAGAAGAAGACGAAAGAGACTCACGACGTACACTCCTGAACCCCTAATCATCATGGTGGAGGTGAGCCATGGCAAAGCAGAAGACATGAATAAAAGACAGCCCACTGCCTCCGACTTGATGCCAAACCAGCGGTTCCGAGGGCAGTAAGAAAGGCGGTTCGACAAGGCCTCTTGATCGGTTACCAACTGCGCCGACTACGCCAAAAAAGGAGTATTGTATTGTTGTCAGTGTTTTTTGTGTTAATACCCAGCTTTCGCAGCCGTAGAGTAATGTAGGAACTGGTATTGTAACCATGGTATTGTAAAATTTAATTCTTGTTTCCGGTCTTGTCTTATTTGTGTAGTGTATGTAAGTGTTGTGTATCGTTCCACATATTTTTTATTTCGTTAATTTATTGTCAATATCTTTATCTTTTTCATAACTTATTTTACACCCTAAGTAATTAAAGGAAAGAACTTGCTCTATAATTTTGTTTTCAATGACAATTTTTGACCTTACTGTGTCCTTCCCCCTGAATGCCATCACTTTTCTTTTTTTCTTTTGATATATTAATGTCATAGCTTTTGGAAATTTTATTAAGGTGGTTTACTACTCTCTGTAGTTCGTCTTCTGTTTCCTGAATAATAACTGCGTCATCAACATAGAATAAAATCGTTAATATCTCTTCTTTGGTCATTCATATACCAGTGTCAACTTTCTGTTTTAAAGAGTTACTTATGTCCTGTACATAGATATTAAATAATGTAGGTGATATAGGACAACCTTGCTTTACCCCTTT